CTGCAACCTGATTGGAATTCTCCACTTCTATTCAGATCACTAAAATTATGCTTTTTAAGCATTAATAAAATGAAAATACAATGTCCTTTTTAATAAAGTGCTTTATTGAAATAAAAATTATAGGAATTATTCCTTCTCCAGCTGGCAAGCAAGCTAATTGAAAATTTATCACATATTCCTCAAGCCAGAAAGCCTTCCATATATTTTATATTGTATTTTGATACTAAATAACCTTTATTTCCCATATTGGAAAAGTTAATGTGCTCACTAATCTAAAACTCTGTATAATTGACAACAAATATTCCAGTGGATATAAATTAGTAGGTTGTTCTGAACTTGAAAAAGAGGGAGGAAAAATGACACTATTTTTAAAAATGATAATATAATCAAAAGTATAATACTCAAAAAGACCTTATGTTTTCAGGAACATTGTTCTAATAATATTGTATATAACAATATTAATTGGATACTGGAAGAAATCTATGATAAAAATCTTTACTAATTATGGTATTATTAAATATTAACCTGAGAAACTGTGGTTGTATCTCAGTGGTAGAATGCTTGCTTTGCATGTACAAGGCTCTGGGCTTACTCCTCAACACAAAATAAATTAAAAATATAAAAAATAAAACATAAACTACCATTATTTGCCAAAAGTCAGAACTAATTATTCAGTTGAGATTACATATTACTGATAATTTTTTGAAGTTTAAATACAAAGTTATTTTACTTTCCAAATGATGGTTTTATCTTATTTTTAAGCCTATACTAGATATTTCAAACTGTATTTCAGGTCAATCGTTAATGTTATAATAATTTTTTTACCTTAGAATTGGTAACCTTTCAAAAATATATCTCCCCTTAAAATTTCAATTGAATTCCTCAATTAGCCCATATTTGGCAACTACAAGTTTTTTCTAAGCAACTTGTAGTGCTACATTTTCTTTGATGGCTGTAGTCATCAAATGCAAATTTGCTTAACAGATTTGTCTGACCTTCAATAATAAGCTATTAGACAGAGCTTTCAAAGCCAATTAAATGAACATCAAATTCCTTTATGAATCAGAAATGTCCACATTGTGCAAAAGGATAATAGATCAGATGTATTTGCTAATACTCAATGTAAGAGACAGGTGTTTGGCTGTAGATAGTGAAAGCAGGGGACCAGAGTTTTAGATTATAGTCTCAGATTCTTTTAGCTGGAAGGGTACTTTAAATGCCATCTAACATAATCACCATTTGAATATTGCACCTATGACCTCTATTCTTGTTTTGAATGCCCATATTCTCTTAAGGGAACACAGTGCTTCTTTGCATGTTCATTTAAATTCTCCTTTGGAAATCATTCATGCTCATATTGAAATCCAGAGCCTCCAAGAAAATGGAGAGAAACAAGATATAAACCAATTTAGAAAAGCAATATTAATAATTTATTATTAATAATTAACATTAATAATTTACTTGATGCAGCTAGTAAGTAGACATTTGAGACACAATTTAATTCAATTTTTCACTGATTTTTTTTCTATGCTGGTAACTTTAGTCATATGCAAAATTCCTCAGATTCAGTTGTTTGTCTCCTGAATCATTTTAGAATCTGTCTATGATAAGAATCTTTAGGGAACCCAAGGGAAAAGGTGAATTCCACCTAGACTTTTCTGTTTCCCTTCAACTATCAAGGTTACCATATATTCTCCTTGATTACTAGGCAGAAGAGAAATCTAGATTTATACCTGTGTATTGGAGATATGGTGACATAATTTATGTAATATTAAAAGACTTGGTTTTATGGTTTTAATTCTACCTTCAGGAAGCTTTATAATCACTGATTGAGTCACCATGCTACTCTGGCTCTCATTTTCCTCATCTACAAATGGAGAATAAATACAACTAAAATTCAGTGTTGTTGTGAGAATTAAAAGAAATAGTATAGAACATATAACAAACTAAAACCCTTCATCTTGTCTCATTCTCCTTAAATACACTAGCAATGTGATTTGGGAAACTTAATGCATTAAATGAAAAGTAAATGGGTTAACTAACTCATATATACAAATTGTGCAAAATTCACAATATGCAAATATCATTTCAGTACAAATAAACTTTTAAAATTAAGGATACTGTCCCTCCTGTCACTTCAAACTCTTTAGGAGCCCAAGCAAAAATTGAAGGTAGCATTATTATTATATTAAATAAAATGATATAAATAAAAACAAATAAATAAGAACAGTAGCTGTTATCTACTGGGTGTTATGTGCTAATCACTGTTCTCAAATACTTAACATATATATTTTTTCTCGTGCTGTTATGGCTGGGAACCAACTAATCCTAGATGCAGTATTCTTTCCTGTCTACTCTTGACACCCCCGCAACCATCCACTGGTTTTATATTTGATTAAACATTAAAAATACATTTGGTATTATTTCCAAAGATCCTTTACAACTGCCTCAAGAACCATGATTTGGATTGTCAACATGCAGTAAGACATCAATTTCGTCAGAAATCTTTGCTTGATACTGCAATTAGAAGGTTAAAAATTATTAGATTCTGATTTTGAATTATTCTTTCCATTTATGATGCTTTTTAGTTAGGAATTTTCAAAAATGCATATAAGCCTGACTATTTTCACTACATGTACTCAAGTATTTACAGCCATTTTAAATACGAACATAATATTGGCATTTATTGATTCATCCACTGATTTATTCATTCAAATAATAATCAAACACCTATCATTCTATATACTACTCTTCTTTCATAACAGTGAATGCCATCTTTTGTCAAATCTGTCTTGACACAAGATACTTTTAAGGCTTTGAAAAAACAACAAAACCCTCTCTTTACTTATTATTTTATCTTTTATTGTTGCTTTCTTCTACTGTATTTACATATTTCCTTTTCTCACAAATTCCTTTCTCCCTTTTACTACAGATTTATGAAGCAACTACCAAGTCATTTTCTGCTTCATCATCTCTTACTAATTAACACTGCTAACATTAGAAGCCTTAGATGTCTACCTCTTCCATTGAAATAGGAATTTTAGTACTCTCAGTTACAAATCATGACAGTATTTGCTGAATTTTACATGATGGTTACTATTTTTGTTTATACTTTTTGGGAAAAATATATCCATCTTACAGGAGTTTGCAAATACCATCAAAATACTTTCATATCAGTATGCATGAGCACTATTTGAGCTTTCTTAATAAAATGTCAATGCATAGCAAGTTTTCCCTTGAAACTTTTTCCCCCAAAGAGTACACTTAAGTTAAAAGGTAAGTATGAACTCTTTATGTTACATATAATAAACTTGATTTTCTACAGTGGTGTGGTGAGCCGTTCTAATTAGACCGTGGTCGCCATTACAAGATGGCGCTGGCTCCGCTGTGGTCTGTAACAAACAACTCCTTATTTGGGAGAGTTGGCGCATGGTTTTTCACCACCCTATGAGAAAGCTCCACGTGGCAGCTTTGCATTGGGGCTTGAGATGCTTTATTAAGGCTGGGAGGGGCATCCGAGGGTTAGAAGAAGAAATATCAAGGACCTGAATAAACTGCTGAAAGAAGATTCCTGAGTTGCGTCTTCCTTGCGGGCAAGGGGTCGCGACACAGTGGTGAGAAAAAAAAGAAGTAGGTTTTATAAATTCTAACCCTTTCTTGCATAAGTTTGAGTAAGATAACATGGAGATAAATTACTTGAGCTCTTGACTCTAGTAGTTTATACAATACCATTATATATAAGTGGGCTTTAGTACCCTCTCTGCTTGCAACTCTATTTCCTCTCGTTATGTACTTATTAAAAGTTTTTCTTTAAAGTCCCTTGTTGTCATGAGCCATCCATGGGCTATGTATGTATGAGCTATGCGCATTTGATCATAAGAGGGGACTGGCCTAACGTTACTGCCTGATTGGGCTATGTGACCTATGTGTCCTTCTCACTCTGCCTATGATACCACACAGCTCCTGAGATTAGTGTAGTTTTCCAAGATGTCAGTCAATCTGCTGACCACCACAATACATCACCAAGTAAGACTCCACCCTTCGAAACCCAATCCCTTGCCTTATTTGGGTGGATCTGTCTCGAATGTCTTTCCCCTAAATAAAAACAGGGGTTCAGGGTGTGCTCTCTCTCTTGCCTCTTGCCTCCCTTGCTCTCTTTGCTTTCCAGAATAGGAGCTGAGGTCTCAGAGCCATCCCTGACACCCAAAAAAGGTATTTCTGGGTGTGTGTGTGTGTGTGTGTGTGTTTTGTTGTTGTTGTTGCCAGCCCAGCCACACTCGGTCCCAAGTCATAAACCCTTCAGTCTAAAGCAGTATATCTTGCTTCAACCAAGCAAATGTTCCATCTATATAACATCTATGTTGGAACTGTCTTTCAATAGTTTTTCTTTCATTTCCACAGTATTCCTAGACAGAATCTTTATTACCTCATATCCACTTTACGGTAACCTACCTGGTCTTTTCCCTCAGCCTCATTTTACTCCAACTCATCCTGGTACTTAACTCTATTAATATTTCAGGAAGTTCCTAATTCCATTTCCACAAGAACTGGCCTTTCATCGTTTCCAATGACACTTGTTTCTCTGAACCATGAATTTGTGTATTGAAGGTTTGACACTAAGTCATGAAATATCTCATTTTATTGCATAATTGTTTTATGTGCATACTTCTACCTCCCCAGCACAGCAGAAACCTCCTTCTAGACAGAAAACATGTCTTAGGAGCTCTGACTGAAATGACATATAACTGAGTCCTGAATTTTGTGAAGTCTCTCTTAAATTAGAGCCCTCAATGCATTAGCATAATGATATGCACCCCATACAAACTCAAAAGCCACATATTGAAAGCCTGCAATATGGAGCTTTTTAACAATCACATAGTAAATCTGCTTAACAAGCGTCAAAATATCAAGAGCCTCAAAAATGTTTTCAGTAAAAAATCTTGTCATTTCTCTAATAAGTAAACACTAGTTCAATGTAATCGTCAACATGAGTTACTTACCAAGGCAAATTTTTTGTTGAGAATCATCTGCTCCACCAAAGATGACTCATTATGGAAGAGATGGGGCTGCATATGACTCCACATATGAGGAAACCACCAGAACTCATCAACAGACCCCAAAAGACAGTCATCCCCTTCATCTTCCTCTTCAGTTCCTTTAGGGGGGAAGTGATTATTTAATTAATTCCAGTTACACTATTCTGCCACTATCTATCTATCTATCTATTTATCTAATTTATACTCTCATATATTACATTTACACTACCTTACATACATATAAGGATTTGAACATAAAATGTAACAAAGCAAAATCTGTTATGCAAAAACCAGGGATTGTTATAAAGCAGTTTTTAATATGGTTAAACAAGAGACATGGATGTATATAACCACTGCAAGATGGATGTATGTCCACTCCCAAGGACATTAAAACTCTTCTCTTTTAGCATCTTTGTACAATTTGTAGTTTGAAGAAAATGGGGGAAATAGAAAATGTAACCATTGGAATTTAAAGTATGGAAAGTTGTGATAGAGCCCTAGTAGTAAATCATTTTGACATGGGTTATATATACAGTCACAACAAAATAATTTCATAATTCATTTGGGTCCCTCAGGAAACCATGTCATTTAAGATTAAGTCAGTTATTCATTGCAATTTTCACACTGAAAATAGGCAAAAGTCTCTTGGGATTTCTCAGTAATCAATTCATTGCTGATCTCTATCTCCCCAGGAATACGATTGTGGGTAAAGTAAACTGAGGGTCCCTAGTTTATAAAAAGTCTCTTGCCAGGTGCTTTTGCATTCCATTCCTTGTTACATAGGACTATCTTTTCCTGAATCTATTTTGTCATTTCTCCTTCACTCATTTTTCTTTGTTTTCGTTTTCTTTTTTTTTTATTGGTTGTTCAAAACATTACAAAGCTCTTGACATATCATATTTCATACATTTGATTCAAGTGGGTTATGAACTCCCATTTTACCCCATATACAGATTGCAGAATCACATTGGTTACACATCCACGTTTTTACATATTGCCATACTAGTGACTGTTGTATTCTGCTATCTTTCCTAATTAGACTTTGCTCAAATTTATTTATGAAGACAGAGTGACTCATCTCAGTGATCTTCAGAAAGACAGCTCAGACATTACCCTTTCCTGTACACCACGGTGAATCTATGAGTAAAATGTGTGTACACTGCAATCATGCAGGGGTTAGACAAACGACGTCTGTCTGCCCTCCAACTGATTTATCTTAACTCACATAGTAGGCATAGTAGTAGGTCTGTCCTTTTTTTCTTGATAGCTCTGTTTTATCTCATTTTCTTTAACCCCACTTTAGGGATGTTATAAATAAAAAGTAATTATATTGAGAACAATTGCCAAACATTATGATTAAAAGCAGCTGAAATGTAGTTCTAGTTCATGGTTGGATTGCCTCAGCATCCTGCTGTCCATTTTTTCTCCAGCTCTGCCCTCCTTGTCAAACTGGAGGTAGAAGAAAGAGAAGTCAAATTCGTCAATTTTTAAAGACCATTTCTGAAGTTCTTACAAAACTTGCTTATAAAGTTATTGCAAATTATGATTTATTATACTATTTATCTATTAAAAAAACTTTTTGCAGTATTTTATCAGCAGTATTTCCTTCTCTGATATTAAAAAGCTTCCTTGACTAAGATTTACCTTGTTCCAAGAACAATGTTATATGCTTTACTCCCAGTGTCTCTGGAGGCTAAAGCAGGAGGCTCACAAGTTTAAAGCCAGCCTCAGCAATAGTGGAATGCTCAATGAGACACTTTCTCTAAAAATATACAAAATAGGGTTGAGGATGTGGTTTAGTGGCCAAGTGCACCTGAGTTCAATCAATGGTCACAAAGAAAAAAGAAAGTTACATTTTTTACAACATCATTTGATTTAATTCTCATAACAGCCCTATGAGCTCAGAGTCATTGCTAAATCCCATTTACAGGTAAAGAAATTGGTCTCTAAAGAGATAAAGTAACTTGTCCCAACTCACTGAAAGTGCTGGGACAGAACCTGAATCTAGAACCTGAATTCTAATTCATATGAAGCAATTCCAAATTCAGAGCCCCAGCTATGATTCATTGGACAAAGGAGGAATAAAAAGTAAGATAAAAATTTCAATTCAATATCACAATCTTTTGATGTTTTAGTAACTTTTGATGCAAATAAATTTACATATGTATTTCTCTATGTGATTTGGTGAAATAGGTCAATCTAAAGATTCTATAGATAAAAAGAATCTTTTGCCATTTGGCTCCCGAATTAACTGTTGCCAAATAAATAACAAATATTCAGTTTTTCTAATACATAAGAATTGGGCTCTAGCTGATTTAGGATTAAGACAGGTTTTTGATACTTAATAATTTATGACTATGGCACCTTTAAATTTTTATGATCTTATCTAGAAAGTGAGTTACATACTATATAACTCCTAGGATGCATTGAATAGGTACATGAAAAGTGTTTAGCAATGTACATTGGATGTAGTTATTCCTCACTATAAGAGAAGTTTGATCTTTATTTCTATCTCTATTTCTTACCAAAATGCACAACCCTTCAAAACTTAAAAGAAATCACATAAGTAACGCTTTTTCCTGAAAAAAATTCTTATACTATGACAGTGCAGCTTTTCTCCTTACATTCAAGAAAAGTAAAATGATAGAATTTTTAATAGAAAAATTAATTATTAATTTAGAAAGGAAACAATGTAATTAAATTTTATAATATCTAACTGTTGAAAGACAGAGTATTAAATTTTATGTGCTTCCACTGAAAAATTCTTCTACTGGTCATAAGACAACCCTGGCCACAGTTTTGTGTAAGTTGTCATATTTTACACAGATAAAAAAGCCTTTGAACCTTGGTCTTAGCTTTCTCTTGTGTTTTACTTTCCCTGGCTTAGAGAGAGGGCGCTTTTATTGTGAGCTATGAGAAATGCCGAAGCAAAGAAAAAATAGAGGACAAATCTTCCACAAGTAAGAAAGGAGAGGGACAGGCAGAATAATTTTCATGCATTCAGTGTTTGGTGAGAAGAGAATCGAGTTTCTAGGAATATTTGCTTGTACTGCCTTGATGAGTTTAGGTTTTCCTAGGTTTCCTACTATGGTTCTTCCAAAAATCTTCCTCTCTGCCTCACTGATAACTACATATTCTATATGTCCTTGATCTCACTCTGGGGATTCCTTATCTGTATATTAACTTTTTATTTTTTTCAAAGGATGTCAAATAATCTACAATAAGCACACTGAAATTAGGATAGATTTAGAAAGAGATTTCATAATAATACTCTTTTATTGCTTTAAGTTTGTGGGGATCCACATTGGCAAATTTAGTGGTGCTAGAAAGATGAACTGAACTTTTGCACATTAAAAAAAAATGTTTTCACTTTATATACTATACCAACGTAGTAGAACTTTACTGTAAACGAGTAATTTAGAATATGTCACTGTGTTTGCATTTTTGAGGTTATAATAAATACTGAAATTTGTGTCAATAATAATAGAAAGTTAAACCATGATTATGGAATTCCCAGTAAATCTTTAGAATAATCACAGAAAAGTGTATATTTTATTATTATTTTTTATTTTTTGGTTTTGATTTGCTTGTGTGTGTGTGTGTGTGTGTATGTGTGTGGTACCAAGAAAATAAACCAGGACAATTCTATCACTGAGATACATCCCCAGCCCTTTTTACTTTATTTTTTACAGGGTTTCACTATGTTGCCAATGCTGTCATTGAACTTGCAATCTTCCAGACTCAATCTCCCAAATTACTGGGATTACAGGTATGCATGGCTTGAAAAGTTGTCTTTTATATATTTGTTTAAGTAATTAGAGTAATAAGGCTTTCAGAGCTTCCTATGTTAAGGTCATTCTTAGAGCTCAGAAAATTTTCAAATTAAGAAGCAAAGTCATGGGGCTGGGGCTGGGGCTCAGTGGTAGCGCACTTGCCAAGCATGTGTGAGGCACTGGGTTCGATTCTCAGCACCCCATATAAATACATAAATAAAATAAAGGCCTATCAACAACTAAAAAAATTTTTAAAAAGAAGCAAAGTCACACATAGTTTTATGAAAATACATAGTGGATGAAATACACTTTGTGTGATATAAAATATATCAGAGTCAATTCTCACAACACTGCAACTTTCATGAAAACAAGTGAAAATTCACTTATTACAGAAATGTAATAAGTGTTACTTCTATTTAAAAATGAAGTTACTATTGAATTTCCTTTATGGAAATGAAAACAGGTATTGTTGATATTAAATGTATATAGGAAGAATTATCACCATAATAATCTTGTTAAACCCTTGAAGGTACACATTAGCTATACACAAAAGAATTCATATTATCAAAGTAAAAAATTAAAAGCATTTAAAATTATGGAAAATTACTGGAAAATGTGCTAAAATATAAAGTCATTTTAAAATTACTTATCATTTAATTCATAATTTAATTGAATGGATTATATACATATAATGTAAAATGCAGAATGAACAGTGAAAAGTAACTAATTTTCATCCTTGTCATTCATTTCCCAAATTTTCTTCTTCACAGATACCATTCAAACCAGCTTATTGTGAATTTTGCAGAGACATCATATATCGGTACCAACAGCTGTGCAACTATGAGCAAACTAGCCATTCTATATCTCAGTTTCCAGATGAATCACTGATTTATAAATTCTAAGATTGTAGAAAAATTTAATTTTACTGTGATACGTAGTTATTTTTTAAAGAAGAAACAAAAAGGTAGCAAAAAGGAAAGAAAAAGTAAAATGAAAAATGTTAAAATTAAATATTTTTCTACATCAAAATCACCATTAGGAAAGTGAATAGACTACTCAGACAGTGAGAGAAAAGTATTCGTAACACATGTAATTGAAAAAGAGCTCTGTGTTTTGTAAGGGTTCTGTGTTTGGGATCGGGGTCTCTGATAGCTTCATGACATGATTGGTGTTACTCTACCATTTCAGATTCTTTCCTTCTTTCTTTAGTGGCATGCTTGGTGGCTAGGAAAATTTCTGTGCAAAGACACAGGATGCCTAGCTGCTGTAGCAATGCCCTGCATGAGGAGGCTCTATGCTAGAGTCTTTTCAGACTCAACATTTATCTAAGGCACTCAGCTCTTGTGAATAAAGAAAATTTCTTATTAGAAAACCACAATGTTGCACCAAGCTCTGCTGTGCCTGAACTTGTCCACAAAACAGTAACTTTAAACAATGGGCTTTCTTGAGAGCTACACAAAGCTCCTAACATGCACATCACAACTATAGTATGTAACTGAGGAATAAGCTGCATAATGCTGCTAACTCTGTAACCTGCCTAATGACACAATGAGCAATAATGTACTACTGATGCCACTGATCTAATGTAACCTATTGATTATGAATAAAGCTGTCAGCTTGGACAAGGGGCTTTTTCTAACATTCTGCTACATTGCCTCTGCATCTTGTCTCTCTACCTCTGTGTCTCTTTTATTTTTCTTACAATGTTTGCACAGAGAATTTCTATAAATCAATAATAAAATCCAGAAAATAGAAAAAAATGCTTCTCAATAAAGGTATTAATAGACAATAAACATAAGAAAAAAGCTTGTATGCTAGACATCAGAAAAATATATATAAAAACATAATATGACATTTCTATATGCCTACTAGAAAGGCTAAAATTAACAAGAAAAAATCAAACATTAACAAGATTTTAGAGCAAGATTTTAGAACACTGATACTATTGAAAATATAAATTGATAAAACAAATTTGAAATATTTGTCATTTTTCAAATTTGATTGTCATTTTCTGTTAAATCTGATCATATGTTTGCTATACAACTAGAAATTCCACTCCCTGCTGATATCCAATAGAAAAAAAATATACTTAAGTTTCTGAAGGACAGGTATAAAGATTTTCATAACAGGTCTATTAAAAACAGCCAAGTCTAGAAATAATGCAGTCATCTATATTGGAATGAAATGGATAAAGAAATGTTTGTATATGCAAATAATGGAATACTACAAAGCAATGAAAAATGAAGAAATAAACCTATACATAATAATATCTATGAAACAAAAACAGTTGAACTAAAAACTGGTAACAAATGAGTTATTTTACATGTATCTCAAAATGAGGCAAATCTCAGATGGTATCAGAAGTGAGTATAATAATTCTGTTTGAGGAAAACTAATGACTGTAAGGGAGTATGAGGTGGCAGTGCTCTAGTTTTGTTACCTTATTTGATCTCCCTATGAATTACACAGATGTGTATAGTTTGTCAAAATTAACTGAAGAGCCCATCTAGTATTTATTCATTTTAGATACATAAATTATAATAATAAGAAAGAAGTTCATTAGATAATATTATAACCTTTCAAGTGATAAACAATTTTAATGGTTAAAATAGTATGTTAGATGGGGTCAAATTATATGGAAAATAGAGGAAGTACATATGGAATGTAGAGGTTTACTATTTTAAATAGAGTGGTCAAAAAAAAAAGCCTTATGAGAATAGTTAATCTCTTTTTCTTACCTGTGTGGTAAAATTTTCCTGAAAATCCCAAGTTGAATGTAAAATTTCTGATTTGTTCCCGCAAAAGATTCTGAGTCTCAAGCAGGGCCTGTAATATAGAATTTTTTAAAATGTATGAGGTCAAGAATGACATTCAGACATTTTTAAAAGACATCTTCCTTTTGCAGGTATAGAATAAAACCACTTTTTTATACTTGGCCCAATTAAATGATGGAAAGTAGTTATCACTTTAAAATTAGAGAGATACTTTTAAGATTACATAAACATAAATATTTTTATCCTTTAGCTTATAATAAATCAACAAAAAATTTCAGCTAAGAAGGGGAATTTAAGTGAAAAGTTTAATCTGTGTGCAGAAAAGGAACTTGTATGTAATAGGTAAAATATGTATCTTTTATCACCCAGGGACATAGATAACGATTGTCAAAAAAATGTCACTCAATTTAAAGAAAGCTATGTAACACTGCATGAGGAAAGAAGCAAATTGTTATTTCTCAGATACATTTTTGGCCTTCAAAATGCAAGACTTTTCTATCTTAAATCTGAGAGTCCCAAAAGATGATGACTGCTATTCAAAAAAGGGTATCATGATAAAGTAAATCTCTGATTTGTCCTTTTTTTAATAAAACAAACAACAAAATGCACTATTTCTAACAAGTAAGCAATTTTTGAAGTAAAGTTTTGCTCTATCTATACAATTGTGTTATATATTTATGTATTTTGTTCTATGTTTATGCTACATAAATAAATATATATGTTATATATTTATAACAGGTTGTGACTATTTAGTGTACTTTTCATTCTTGTACTTTTCTTTCTCATTATTTAAATTCTATTTTTTATATTCTTCCTCTGTCTCTCTGCAACATGCACATGTGTGTGTGCAGACACACACACGAGCACACTATAGTAGTTGAGTGCTCACCTCAACTGGACAAAAAGTAGCAATGTTAGATTGGTTAAGGAGATTGGTTAACACATCTTTTACACCTGAGGAAAGTTCGGACAAATGACTTGCTCTTTTTTCACAGATAAAATTAGTGGTGGATCCTAGATTAAAGATATATATCCAAATTTTGTTCTCCTTTTACTCTATCATTCCAGATCCTTTCCTTCTTTCTTTAGTACAGGTGGGGCCATAACTAAATCTTTTTTTTTTTTTCTGATATCAGAGTGACAAGTGGAAACCCTGCACTATCAGATTCATATTGTTTCAATCATGTTCATTATGTTTCAATCTTTGGGGATAAACAAATAATCTCTTTTTATTTGGTGATCATCTGAATAAAATGTATGATGAGTTATGTGTTAAGGGAAGGAAAAGAGCTTTTATTAAATTTAAACTCATCTGATCAATAACCGAATACCTTTCTATCACTTTATTTAAATGAACAACTTCTTTGGTGTACATAACTGAGCCATGTATTATATGGAAACAGATGACACTCAAAAATTAAAGTAGGCCTGTTAGTAGATCTGCACACCTCATTACAGGAACAAGATTGACTGATGGTCATGCCACTGGGGACACACAGGTCTTGCCCTTACCAGGGTAGGGCATGGGTTAATCATGGGAAACAAATTGGTAGGCATAATGAAGTGAGGAATGGGACCTGTAGGTGATAAACTGGACTATGGTAAGCTGGGAGTTGCCTGGGTGAACAGTTTGAACTTCTCTATTTCTTCTGGAAGGAAGATCAAGTGAGGAATGTGAAGGTGTAAATGAAATTCCACCTCTGGTACTTATATTGCAGTTATTAAGAGGACAGATTTAGAGGTCAGATGGCCTCAGATGGAATTCTGGATCTGTCCTTATTCTTCTTTGAGCATGTTGTTAAATAACTCTAAGAGTCAGTCTCTTCATTTATAAGGTAGGCATAGTAATAATTACCTCAAAGCTCTGTCGTGTGAATTAAATTAAATAATTCATTCATGCCCAGCAATTATTAAGTGCTGCTCTTCTGTTATTGCTGCTGATACTATTACAACTACTCATATGGTTATTATTATTAAATTATATAGGAGAATTCACATTACCTGTCCAAACTTTTTCCTTCATCTGTAAATTGGAGACAGTGATCTAACCCATGGAATATATATACAGATTATAAGAAATAATATATAGCTGGGTGAAGTTGTGCACACCTGTAATCCCAGCCACTTAGAGGTTGAGACAGGAGGTTTACAAGTTCAAAGCCAGACTCAGCAATGGTGAGGTGCTAAGCTAAGACAGAGTCTATAAATAAAATACAAAATAGGGCTGAGGATATGGCTCAGTGGTTGAGCACCCCTGAGTTCAATCACATTTAATAATAATAATAATAATAATAATAATAATAATAATAATTAAAGTAAGTTGGAAAACTTTTTTTAAAGTATCATAAAATATTAGATGTTGATGCTGTAATTGTCAGAAGTATCTATCATCTGCCTACCCCATACCTATCTACCTACCTATCCATCCATTTCATTTACTTTTTAGAACCTTTTACTCTTTATTTCATTTATTTAATTCATTTATTAAATATATTTGTTTTAGTCTTCCCCTACTCTGCCCATCCCTCTAGGCTCTTCACCTCAGGGCAACGTTCTATTTGAGTCTTCATATCTTTCTCTCCTCTTATAACTCTTATATTTCTTCTTCTCCCATATTTATCACTTCATTTTATTCCTTATTCCCCTTTCATTGGTTAAAATAAAGATTTGAAATACATTCTAAATAGTGCTTTGTGTTATTAAATTTTTCTACCTTAAAATTAGGTAAGGCTGACATTCTTTCTGCCTTTTATTTTTTTTTTCACATTAAAGTTGAATTTGAACTTTGCTTTGTAATCTTCATTGCCTTTCTAGTGTACTTTTAATAATTTTGATAGAAAGTAAATGAATCTATCCTGTTCTTAGGCCTTAGCTGTTAAAGAATGTATAATATATTTAGGAATTAGTCCCTTCATAAACTAGAATGAATTAATTCCAATTACTGAATTAGCCCTAATTTTTCAGGTTTTATTTGGAAATTTTACACATTTACTTGATATTCTAGAAACAAATATGGAAATATTTAAAAGATATACTGAAACAGATAGCCCATACTAAAATGCCTATGTATGGTGAAGAGGAAAACCTATTTCAAGATGATATTTTATATACTTAAGCCATAATATTTCTCACATTTAAATTATTCTTATAAACCAGTTTGGGAATTTGTCTATGATAATAATATTAAATACTATATTTATCCATTATTTCCAACTATTCAAAATATGCATATCACTGGCCTGTTCAGTGCAAGAAGCTTAAGCATCAGCAATATTTTTAGGCCCTTATCCTTTTCACTAAATTCATTACTAAAATGATTTTATTATTATTCCATTTTAAACTAAAATATTTTATTCATTACTATAAAGAAAATGCTATAAAATTATATAAGTGATACTTTGCTTTATTATCTAAAATAACCTGATAATGTCTAAAAGTCTAATAAAAAAATAAATCAATGTTATCACACTATATTCAAACAACTCATAAATTTCCAAAGCAATCTCTGATATGCAGAGCCCCTGGGCTACGGAAAAGGGAAGTAAATAAGCTCCCCTAACGTGCACCATTTATTATTCTCCTCAGTACCAAGCAAAAACTTTAAGAATATAGATATCTACTTTGAAAACTAGTTTGACTTTTGAAAAATAATCTTTCCTTAAGATGTTTCAAAATAAATATTTAGGATAATCAGTGATTTTTTTTAAATAACATATTTTCCAATGAAAAATTAAAATCATTAAAAATAAATAATAAGGATTCTAGTGAGTTCCTTCCATTTTTCAATAATTAAATAAATCCATGAATATTTCAGATATATGGAGATATGGATAAATTAAAACCATAATGCCATGTACCAATATGTATTTATATACAAATGAAGCAGAAATTTCTATAGCAGAAAATAATTCAATGTATTCTTCATAAAACAAAACTGTTTTGCAGCAAAATTTAAAATGCTTATTTGATGATTAAAAAGAAACAAGCCATAAAAAATATGAGAATTGCATTTTATATGCAACTCTCCAAATAACATTTCAAAGTTATTTTTTCAAATTTGAGTTTGTACAGTTATCCCACTAACGTCTTAATTTTTAAGTCCTCATTCTACAAAGCCAAGGACATTCCCAAACATTAAAAGATCTAGTTACAAGCAAAAGAAAGATCTAATTTAATAAAATTAAGCTCTGAGAATTAAGCAAAATGGCAGTTTTGATACATTTTTTAATTTTATCCAACTTTCTTTAAGAGAATACATATAAGAAACAGTAAATCAGTGACAAAAATCAAAATTAAATGTAATTGCAAAAACGTCATACTGAGATTTGTGTTAGTATTCATCACATGTGTGACATTCTTTGGGGGAACATCTGCTGATTTTTTATATTTTTTTTATTTTTCTTCATAGATTATATTTTTACTTATTTTATTGCCTGTAAGTCAACAATCTGTGTTGGTAAGCCATATTAAAGACAGGGAAGAAATTTTATTGTCAAATAGGGTTTTTCAATAGAAAGAAAAACATTGTTTGAATACAAAATTACAATTAAGACATTTTAATTAATCACATACTACTTATTTTATCATAAATATAAATTTTTATATCTGCTAAAGCAAATAAAAGCAATTGGGCAACTTAAATTCCTGTGGGACTCCACCCATAAGTTATTTGAGTTTATTTGAGCATCTTCACTGGCCTTGAGCCAGGAAGATTTAAGTTTGGCATTACAAACTATTTTGTGGTCCCTCCCACTCAATGGATTGCCCAATGCACTTGACCTCTGTCTTTGCTTGGCTAGGGAGACAGCTTTCATAGCTCCAGAGTGGGGCGTAACCCTTTGGAAATTGGACAGACCACCTCCTACCTTATTCAGCAAAAGAACATTCCCTGGAAAACTTTTGATGCTTCTCCCATATAAACAAAGCAGACTCGAGCTTTCACTCTCTTTCCAGTGTGGAAGCTTGATCCTGAGAGAGCTGTGCCACCCCCTTTCTAAAATTACTTCCTGTGTCCTGTGGTTTCTTCACCATTTTCTCTTTCTTTCTTTCATT